AGAGAGTATCAATGGCAATTTATATCTAGCAATGTGAGCAGGTTGTCGTTATAAAGGCCCGTTTGATAAAAATTAATCGACAGTTCTTAGGAGAAAGAGAAATTAAAAGGAGAAAGAAGGCCGACCTTCTTTGAGACATATCGGTAGTTGAACCTTTCTTTGTTCCGTTCCCCGTGCGATGAGTTGAACTTGACTCCCGCCGTCTTGAGTTGCCAGCCTTGAATTGCAATAAGGTCAAACAACATGCAACACAACAAAAGTTGACGGTGGACTTTAATCGATTTGAGTAATATTTGAAAATTTGGGCACAATTTGTTTAAAAAAAGAAACAAAAATGAATCCGAACACAACTGTGTTCTAAGTTATTTTCCATTGAAACAAATCATTCTGAAATTCAAAAGCATAAAGTATCCGCTGATATGATGAGGTCGCGAACATGAAATTTTTGTCGCGTCACCATCGAAATATGGGGTCTGACCGTGACAAATTCTACAATGTCAGGACTTCCATTTATTTTTAGTTCAGATTCCATTTCTATAGATGCCCAAGGTCAGTCTAGTTTTCTTTCAGCTCGCAAAATTTGGTGAAATTGGCCGTTTTGTTCCCGGAAGAACGACGAAAAACAAATTTATATTGGTGTGATTTCTGTCTTTTGAATAGTACGATTTTACTGATATGGAAAGACGACGAAAAATTAAAAAATAAAAAATAAACAAAAAATATGAATTGATGTATTGGATCTTCTTGAGGTCATTTAAATTGTAAAATGCAAAAAATAAATACATCAATTTAAAACTACGGAGGTCGATCACTATCAACTAGAAAAATATGAATGTAGATTTCATCCAAAAGTAATGTCGGTACTCTCGCTTTTTTATTTCCCCAAAGCGGGTTTTGGCGAATGTAGTGAAGTACCAACCGGCAATTTTTTCAGCGTCACCTACTAAATTTGGTCTTTCATCGAGGACTCCATTTTTGCAGATGTTCATAACAACAATATCATTGTTAACAATTATGTATACAGGGTGGCCTTTTTAGAACCCGACTGAATTTCTCTTAGACTAGCGACGCTATAAAAAGAAATATAGTGTTTAATATTTTTTATCTAGTTTCAAATTTTTACTTTTTTGTAGAAAAATTATATAGAGTACTTCAGGCCCAATTCAACTTCAAAGTTTCAAATACGACCCTACACATCCTGAGACATCATTTTAAACGATGTTTTGCTGAATACAATGGTGCAATCGGATGTGCAATAGGTCAACAAATGGCAAACTTGTGACAAAAAGTTTGAAAAAACAAAACAGACATTTGGTTTGCTATTTATTAATCACATTACATGTTCGAACTGCCTGCCTTGCGTAAATATGCAAAGATTTGCTCTTTTTAACCGGTGGTCAGAGCGATAGTGGTAGTGTAGCGGCGTATCTAGCCGTAGGTCCTGGGTTCGAATCCCGCTCGTGACACTGACTTTTTTTATCTCAACTAAAAACCTTAATTAATTGAAAGATATTAATTGGTCAAGCGGACCATGAAAACTAGTGAATCTTTTTTTTTTTTTAAATAATATATATTTATTTTATTTATTGCTATCTGTACATAATATACATTGAGCAAATAGTTAGTTATAAACTAGTCCGACAGACCTGTCAGACCAGAAGGCAGTGAGGAGAGAAACCAACTTTTATTTAATTGGGGGGGGGGAGTAAAAGTTAATTTGGTGGGTTAGATAGAAGGTCACGAGGCCATCGTCGTTTTAAACGGCGTGGAGGATTGTAAGGGTGAGATGTTGAGGAAAGAGTTAGGGCTAAAGGGTTAGGATGGAGGGAGAGTTTAGAGTGAAAAGTGAAGAAGCGTGTATGGATAAGATCTTTCACGAAAGGGATTTTAAGATCTTTATGGATCGTNGTGGATAAGGATTCAAGGTATGACTGGAACTGGGATGAACGGTATTTGGATAATTCGAGTTTCAAAACATAGGTGAGACGGTTAAATGTTACTTTATCAGAGGGGTAACGATGGCGTTGCCATCGCAACCTTGCTCTTCGTTTGGAGGTTATAAGTTTACGAATATATTCGGGAAGATGACAAGACACTCAACAATTCGCAAAGAGGAATTCGGATATTGGTAAAAATACATCTCGTCGAAATTACGATGCCGGTTTCTTGGTGATAGAACAGCTACTGATCCGTATCTCCTCATATTGCAACATGAATAAATGTTTTGTGGTTTACTCTGGTGCGATCAGGAAATTTCTGGGAGTAAAATTCCACTGCACAACCACCTCCATACCACCACTATCAATAAATCAGTCGTACATATCAACTAGCTGTTGATCGGAAAAATGTGCTCTTCGGTTGATGTTAAATGGAATACTGAATATACGAATAGGTACTATTGTAAAATTTATTTACTTCCAAAAATTAAGATTTGCTCCCATAGTGCGGGTTTGACAAAAAATAATAGAATGTAAACAATAAAAGCCAATAATGTTTATTTTAGTTATAAAGCAATTTATTGAAATTAACAATGAAACAAACGAAGTGCGTTTTTTCAAACTTTTTACCATAACTGTGTCATTTTTTGACTCATTTAAAATCCGATTGCACGATTGTTTTCAGCGTAAAAACCCCTTTAAAATGATATGTCAGGATGTATAGGGTCATATATAAAATTTTGAAGTTGAACTCTCAAAAAAAGGTAAACATTTGAAACTTGAATAAAAATATTAAACATGTATTTTTTGCCATTTTGATAGCGTCATTGGTTCAAGGAAAATTCAACTGGGCCATCGAAAAAGGACACCCTGTATATATGTATTAATTTTATACAATTATCAGAACATAATATATGAGAAAATGAAAGAAGTTCTAGTGAAAATTATGAAATCGGAATGCATTAAAATATTTCGTAACACTGAAGTACTATGAGCCTTACGTTTTTTAAACTTTTCTTTGATTTTTCGTTTGTTTCTTTATCAATAAAAGATTTATTATAAGATCGTGTATTCATGATATACAGAAATATTGTTGAACTGACACTAGGTCACTTGTTGGGTCCGTCTACACTCGCGAGTTTCGATGTCAATCAAATGCATTTTGGCATTCCGCCATCCTCCGGAGGAACACTAAGTACCGGTTCGACTTGTCGAGATCACTGACCAACATTCACCAACAACTTTATTTAAATTAAATTAATTCGAATAGTATGACCATTGGTTGGAAGTTTATTACCAATTATATAAATAAAAAATATAAAATATTAATCGACGACTATGGTTTGGAATATAAACATGTAAAGTAAAAGTCCTGTGTTTAAAATAATTAGGTCTTAAAATGAATTACGACCATAAAAGCCTTACGCCCATATTGTTTGAAATTAATGAACATGTGCTAAAATGAAATGTGTCTGCTAAAATACCTGGTTTAGCCAATTGCTGCGATAAATGATATGTAAATAGATGTTAAATCTTTGTCTGATAGTTGATTGGTCGGATGTAGCATATAATTGAATATTTTTATTGTCTTATTATAGAACTCATTACCTGCATCTTATGTTCTGTTTAACACCATTATTGTTTTGTGTAATGCTTGGGCTTTCCCCTAAACCATTTTATGTTTACTGCATATTTGAAGATAAATTGCTTATTATATTTAATGCAGACTATGTGAAAAAAGTACAATAATGTCTTGGAGCCAGCCGTGTAAATAAATACTGTACATAAAAAATTATATGCAGTAAAATTCATACAAACATACATTTAATTGTAATTGTAATTAAAGGATTAAATTCAGGAAGTTTACTTTACATGATTTTACTTATAACATCTAATTTTTTATTGCTTAATGGAAGGGTTAATTTGTTAAATTTGAAGTTAAAAAGGCTAATTTGAAATTGAAAAAAAAACTTTCAAGTTAAAAAAGGTTAAATTGAAATTAAAAATAATTATTTCGAAGGCAAAAGCTATAAGTAAAGTATAGGCCTAAAAGTCGAGTTAGGTCAAACCCATATATAATTTTATTGAAGGTAATTGGCCAACCTGGGCTTTGTTGTTTGAGTTAAAAATTAGACAATCATGGCATTTTTTACGTCGGAATTTTCGGATATCGGCTCAATCCACCTTTATATACCACCATAAAGTGCGACAATTTTCAATTAAGGAAATTTTCATCGATAAAGATAAATAACTCACAGTTCTAAAAATTGTTGTTTTTCAGTATTCATAAATTGTCTCCTATCTGTACAAAAATCGCAATATGCCGCATCCATTATTTTTCAGACATATCAGCGTAAACAGTTTATATAAATCTTGAAACCTAAAAGATGCAAGAAAACAACTTATTTATGGAATCTGAAAAGCAATTTTCAATATGAAATGATTGCAATTTAACAAAATCAAGAAATAAAACAAAACTAATTTAAGATTCTGCATTAAACAACAATAAACTTTAAGAATTTCTATACACCAAAAGCACTGTAATAAGTTCTCAAAGCTGCTAAGTTCTGCCTTGATTTTTGCCAAAATTAATTGTAAATGTCAGAAAATAATAATTTATAATATAAAAATAGCGTTTATAAAATTTATATATTTAATAATTTGTTTATTCTATTGTAAATTCATTCTGTTATAATAACAAAATTATTGTATTTTTATAACGTTGGATATTTCAAGATGCATTCGTTTCGCACCTTCGTAAACCTTTGAGCTTTCTATTTGAAAGACTGGTTTGGATTCTATTATGTGTTAATTTATCCCAATTTCGACATTGGCTGGCTTCGAGTGTATTAATGTTAGTGTAATGATGTTAAGCCTAAAATGTTGATGAATGCAACATCGACCGATCCATTAGGGTCGATTTCCAAACGGGTTCTTGTCGCAACGGTCATGTACCAGTTTACAAATTAAAAAATAACAACGGCGTTTCAGAAAGCGAATTTTCTCACACGGCTCTGGCTCTTCTTTCCCTTTTTCTTTTTCTTCTATTTCCTACTTTTTCAGTGATGGACGTCGGTTGGGTGAGAGGCACCTGTGTCTTTAACTCTGACTTTGGCTTCACGCTCAACTGTAACTTCAAGAAAAGCAGCATTCTCAGGGTGAGAAACTTAGGCGGAGTCAAAGGATACGTTGGCCTTGGTAAATATGTAAATACTTCTCTAAACTCCCTGAAAAATCAATTGTATGCATGACATTATTGTGTTGATTTTATATACAACCCTCGCATGTATTTCTTTGTAGTTATACCTTTATTAGAACTGTTGTTTTAACATTAACAATAACTCTTGTCTACTATTTTTGCAAAAGGGCTTTAAAAATATGACTAAAATTAAAGAATCTTATTTAATCTCTTCTGTTTTAGACATTTAACCTAAAAGAATAATCTGCATTATCTTTCAGGAAGAAAAATTTATTTAAATTTATTTTCCATTGAATTTAGTAAAACAATAAAAAGTAAAATCTCTCAAAATTCTCTACATTTTTCTCTCTCAACATAGCCAACAAACAGAACAAAAAATAGCAAAAAAGCTTCAGAAATTCGTTATTATTGCGAATCCATCAAAGTTTACGTTTATTTATTTACTTGTTTTCACTTTGTGATAATTATCTTTTAAATTTGCACCAATTTATTTACTGTTAGTTCAAGAAAATAATTAGATTTAAGAAACATTCGTTTATTTGTTTCATTGAGTAACTACCTGTTTTCATCATGGGGAATATAGTGTTCTTTTGTTCCAGTTTTCACTTGTTTTAATGTCCTCAAAATACATTTTGCATACAAAAACAACCTAAATTATAGTTTTATCACGTCATAAATATTCAGCCATGTATCAATTCATTAAAGTGAAATTTTTTAAACTCGAAAGTCGATGGTATCGACATGACCTCTGACCCTTATTCATATGTACCTGTAATGATTCCGACACGACGATGACATTTTGATTAGATGCAAAATGATTTTTAGTCTTTCTTTGAATACAGGAAATTTTAGATAGGCCCTTGTACAATGGGCTTTGTTTAAATTTTGTGCAACAGAAAGCAAATTTTTGTTCTCAAAGTGAAGAAATAAAGTTACGTTCTTACTTGTTTCTCTAGTAGAAAGATTTTTGAAAGTCCTTCGAGGCTCTAAAAACTTTTTTTTGTTATTGTTTTTAAAGCATAGAAGGTTAAGATTTGTCGTCTGATGTAGTTGTCGGTAGAAATTACTCTCTGCCTTAATCTTGTACAGCAGCACTATTTTTTACCATCAAATGATCTGGTTGCTTACCAAATTTCTCTTTTATCATATTTTCATTATCTTGATTTCTACGGAGGTTTGTTCTGTATTATGATGATTTAACCAAACATTTTTTTTAAAGTAAAGTTGTATTGTTTCGAGTTTTCTAATAAAATTGTCAAGAAAATATATTTGAACTTTTATAAAATGTTCTGAGCCTTTATTAGGGTGCTAGTTCATATATAAATACTTCATAATCATATTTCGAGATAAGGAATCAAATTTCTAAACGTACGGTGGATTGATCATCAAAGTGCCAGGAAGAAAACTTCATTTAAATTTTCAAATGTAGGTCTATTTTCTTTGATTTATTTGTTTCTTATGTGATCGACACTTTTATCAAACTAGCATTACGGCAAAAACCGTTTCCAATTATTTCAATAAAGTCTGAAGATTTATATGTCAATATAAAGAAATAACTTTTAATTATGATGAATTAAGCGTTACAAATAATTTCTGTTTAATCTTTCATGAATTGAAATAACTGGTAACAATGCAGCGGCAAATTATTAAGACGTAATGAAATTCTCAAGGGATTTTTATTGGTTCAAACCGCCTGTATTGGTTACAGATTACTTTGATAGATTTATTTAAATATATACTTCTACGTAAAAGAATATCGTCGTTCTTTTTTTTTAACTCTGTTCCATTTTTCTGAATGTGGTTTTGTCAATCATAGTACATTAGAATCGATTAAGACCTGAAATTTCCGATTCGAACGAAAGATTATTATTATCAAAATCAAAGTGTTGTCCCGTGAACAGAAATCAATATTTCAGGAGATTATCCTACATGTCAGCATCAAAACTAAAAAGCCCCTGCTGTCCAAAGACTTATATTCGATCGTATTCAAGATATTTCACCTTTCTTACTTTAAGTTAAGTTACTTCAACCTTTCACAATTTTATTCCATAAAATTCCCAAAATCTCATAAAATGTTAATCTTATGTTAATTCACTTAGAAGATAAACTTTTACAGGTTTCTTTTACTGGTATATATGACGCTCACAGAAAAGTTGCCCCTACGACTGAGCATGCTTTTCTAGAAGATTTAGAAAATAATGCATTAATCGAGAGGATGGACATTTTGAACATTTAATTTAATTTTTAGGTTGAGAAGCTTTTCGTTTTTTCTTATGTTCAATTTCGTACCAAATTGGTAGTCTTGTTTGACTACTTTGTATTATTTTCATTATTTTTTAATAGAAATTTCAAAATATTTTTTTAAAAACAGTTTGTAACCAAAAAAGCAATTAAATATTAATTTTTACATTAGTAACAACTCACCTCGAAAAGTTTATCTTCCAAGCGATTTTGTAAGTTTGCTTAAGTTTAAAATAGAAAACAAAATGAATCTCATAAGGTTTTTATTTTTTTCACTGATGCAATCAAATGTTCGATAAGCTTAAACTTTTATGAGGACTTAACGGAATAAAGTTGTGAGATGTTCAAGAAACCAGAAAAGGAAATATCTTGAATATATCTGAATACCAGACTTTGGACAATAGAGACATTTTAGTCCTATTGACATGCAGAATAACGTCATGAAGTATTGTCGTTCACAGGTAACCCTGTACCTTTTTTTGAAAAAAAAGAAACAAAATTCTTATTTGATTTTGAATTTACAATTAGAAGTTCTTTTTTTCTCCTTCATTTATACTATTTTATACTACTCATTCATACTACTAGTATATATACATACGATGTGTTGTCCTGGAATGAGTCGACTCCCAAAAAATATGTAATTTTCAAAAATATTTAATGTACAATTTAAAAAAAAAATAGTACTAGACCTTGGAAAATTTCAGAAAATTTGGGCTCAAATATACACCACGTTGAAATTTCAAATGTAAACAATGTGAATTTTACATGATTGAAAAGCTGAAAGGCGTTTTTCGATATATGAAAAGTGACTTAATAACATTTGAATATTTTCTTCAGTAGTTGTAATTAAATGTGTGGTGATTAGTGACCGTTAGTCGATGATTATTCAGAAATCGTGAGATGCGGTCTGGTGTGATGTAGGTTTCAGAAAAACATTTTCTTTGTCGTGCCAACGTTTCGATCTTTATTGTGACCATCTTCAGGGCCTGGGGTTTACGAACATTGTTTAAATTTAACAGAAATATGTAGGATGTGGAAAAAAGTGAATTTATACAATAAAAAAAATATTTTCTATATTCAATCAAAGTATTTCTACTCACTCAAAGTGTTTGTTTTCTGCGTACTTTGATTGAATATAAAAAAAAATATTTTTTGTATTGTATAAATTAACTTTTCTCCACACCCTACATGTTTTTGTTAAATTTAAACAATGTTTGTAAATCATAAAAACATTTTCCTTATCGGGCCAACGTTTCGATCTTTATTGAGATCATCTTTAGAGCCTGGGATTTACAAACATTGTTTAAATTTAACAAATACATGTAGGATGTGGAAAAAAGTGAATTTATACAATGCAAAAAATATATTTTTTATATTCAATCAAAGTATTTCTACTCACTCAAAGTGTTTGTTTTCTGCGTTGCCGCTGCATAAACATAAAACAGCAATATCTCACTGGTACTCTCAACACGAGACGCAAGAATGGCACAATTACGCAAAAAACAAACACTTTGAGCCCTGAAGATGATCTCAATAAAGATCGAAACGTTGGCCCGATAAGGAAAATGTTTTTCTGAAACCTACATCACACCAGACCGCATCTAACGATTTCTGAACAATCGTTGTAATTAAAATAAATTGGGGATGTTCATCGAAAATTTTGGATTGTTCTTATAAGTAATAATCGTATAAGTAATAAATATGAAATAAGCCCTGTACATTTATTTATTTTGCATTTTTTCCAAAAATCTGTTATATTGTTTTTGAAGAGGCAAAACGCCTACTCATTATAACAAGGCTGGAGTGACATATTGGCGTCATACTTTGCATTTTGTAGAAGTGTGTTGACTTATCAAACAATGCTAGTTGTTTGGTTTTATCACTTTGTTTGTTTACTAAATCCTAACTTTTCTTCAAGAAAGGAGCTGTTTCTTTAGTATTCTCTAATATGTTATAAATTCATCATAAGTTAGAATTTTGTTTATCCTTAGAAAGTGTCCTAGGACGCATTCACGTTTAACTATATAAAAGAAAAGATCATACATAAAGAAATTGAAAATTTTAAATTCCATGATACGAATAAAGTTTGTTAGGTATTTAATATGTATTTTCATTGAATTTCATGTTTGAATGGATTAAAAAAATGTGTTTTTTTTTTCATTAATCAGGTGCCAAAGTAACAAGCAATTTTGAAAACATTTAAAAGATATACAAATTGTTATACTTTTTTTCTGCCATATAGTTGTTTTTTTCTTGATATATTCAAAACTATATTTATTTTAGCCAATATGATAGATTCAGTTTTTTGAAAAACAAAAAATTAGATATGAAATCCGACAGTTTGGGAAAAGAATATTTCATCTCATTTATATTCCGTCGGGTGTTAAGGGTGTTGAAAATTCTCGGCATACTAATTACATAATGATTTACGATTTATGTTAATCGCACTTGTTCCAGAGATTTTCTTCCTTCATCTTATTATTGACTAAATTTCGTCAGTTTATTAAGAAAAAAATAATTTTTTTTTCACAGGCTTCAGCGTGGGGGACGAGCTCGCTTTCGCGGAAGCTCTTTCCAACACGGACCCTGACAAAAGACGGTCCACGAACGATGGCGACAAAGCTTTCGCCGCTAAACAGGTAGGATTTGTAACTTTCCGAAAATTGGGCATGTCCGTTCAAGTTTTTTTTCTATAAAGCAATTTTATGTTATGGAGTTTTTGAACATACGAAAATTTCACCTAACAACTCAATAAAAAAAGGAACATTTTAAATCGTGACAACCCGTAATCACAAAACTCTCTACGTTGTTATTTTATTTACCTACTTTGTCGGTATCATTAAAGTGTTTGTACATCTAACAAGTTAATTAACTAATGAAATTCCCTAGTTTCGCTGATTTCGAATGATTTGCTAGCTAGCCTTGAATCCTATTTAACTGGGGCGATAGTCTTCTAACCCTAATCCTCTTCAAGCAACCTCTCGCATCCAAGAACACTTTCGTCAATGACTTGTGAAAAAGTGGAGAGAAAAATTGTATGACCAAAACGCACCTATGGAAAAAGGTCTTCTGCTCCAGTGTACAAGGAATAAAATTACCAACTTCTCCCTCAAGTCATACTTAGGACTATACCTAGATATCAGATCAATTTAGACCGCCGGTCAAGACGTTCTCACTAACCTCACTATCCAGAACGATCACATTTCTTTTGACACAGAATTGATTCGAAATGTTCCACTCCGAGCTTACATTCACCCTAAACTTACTGCCTTAAACGACCATGGCCTCGAGACATCCTCATCATCAGGGCTGATCGTCTTGAGGAATTAATATTACCTAGAAATGATCAGTGATGGAGTGAGTGTGGTGTTCAATCCTTTAAAAAAAATATAGTTCTAACTCACAGTAAGTTGTTTTCCATCGATCCGGATTTCGAGCCTTTAGCTCATCACCGATTGAAATTTTTACAAGCTGATGATGAGTTAAGGGCTCGAAATCCGCATCGTTGGAAAACAACTTACTGTGAGTAGGAACTATCTTTTTTAAAAAAGGATTAATATTACCTTCCTCTGAACTCTTCAATTCGAGATTCAGAAAAAAAAAAAAAACTCCGGACTATTAGTTTTGGTACAAAGATTGACAGTTTAGCTATGTTCATTAGTATCTAAAAGTTAAGTCTAAACTTATATAAGTTTAAACTTATAAATTCACTAGTTTTCTTGGTCCGCTTGACCAATTAATATCTTTCAATTAATTAAGGTTTTTATTTGAGATAAAAAAGTCAGTGTCATGAACGGGATTCGAAGCCACGACCTTCGGCTAGATACGCCGCTACTCTACCACTTGAGTATCGTGACTTCGATTCACTTAGAAGTTAACTTCCCATCTCAACCCCACCTTTTGAATTTTCCCTCCTTTTTTATCTCAACTAAAAACCTTAATTAATTGAAAGATATTAATTGGCCAAGCGGACCACTAGTGAATTTAATAAGATAAAATGAAGTATATCTTCACTAAAGCTCTCCGTGGCCATTTCATTTGTCGCCGAGAATCGAACAGATTAGACGACATTTGAAGAATGGCAAAAAGGAGCGAAAATTCAAAAAGTGGTAGAGCAGCGGCGTATCTAGCTGAAGGCCGTGGGTTCGAATCCCTCTTGTGACAATGACTTTTTTATCTCAACTAAAAACCTCAATTAATTTAAACTTATAGTTTATTGTATATTAGTAATCGTAATTGATACTCTCGTTTATTGTTAGAATCTCTTGGTTTATACGTTTTTATTTATTTGTTTTCATTTTTTAAAATTATAATTTCCGTTTCTTACAAACTCGTACACTCTGTTTCTTGTTGAATTATGTAACTTTTCCCCATTAAACAGGATACAAGATTTATAAATATCAAGAAGAGTTTTGAATATAAGAATATTTGTAATAGGAAAAATTTACGGTCTTCCAAATCCAATTTGGCCACAAATGTATATAAAACACCAAAGGAAATCCAGAACTGAACCGCACAAACGCTGGGTAGGCTTCCGGTGATGTCATTCTTCCAAATTTGGAATAATGTTTACAAGACCAAAACGCAATTTTCTCCGTGTAGTCATGGACTGAACTAATTGTACACGTTTCAACAACTCCTAGATGGATTACACCACGATTGGCCTAGGAAGAAAAGGCCAACGTCTTACTTCATTTCAACTACCAGCAATTCTTATAAATCCATTACATACGATTGGGCATATAAAGATACGAATGACAGAACAGTATGGATAAAAATAATTATAACGTTTGTTAGCGAACTTTTAATTTAAATTTTCGTTAAATTTTACTATGAATTTATAGATAAACTTATTTGAGGAATTGTTTTAGTATTTTCCTCTTTCAGCAATCTTTTTGTGAAGAAATATCATACTCTAGGGTAGTTATAATACTAAAAATCCAATTTTTTCTTCTTTCCTCTTTTTTTCGGTTTGAGCTTCAAAAATCGCGCGTGTTTCAGCACGACGAGAAAGATGAAGTACAGAACTCTTACCTTGAAAGAAAAGGGCAAAAGGACAACGCCTTTCCTCAAATTAACTATGTAGTACTAATTCTTACAACTCCGGTGGAATAACACTGTCTCGAGGAAAGTGGAAGAACGAAGGAGGGCATTCGACCTTTATAAAAGGCAAACGACGTACGAAAACTGGTTAATATACAAAAAAACATGCGCGGAAACCAAAAGAATCATAATTAAAGAAAAAAGAATGGCATGGAAAAAATTCTGTGAGACTTTAAATAAACAAACACCAACTATTTGGTCAAGGATCAGAGCGATAAAAAATCATAAGTTTAAAAACAATACCACCCCTACTGCAAAAGGACAGTGGACGGAAGAATTTTTACAAAGGATCACCCCTGACTATGTTGCAAACAAATCAGCCATCCTAGATTATGAAAATACCATGAACACGAACAGATGCCTCCTCAGGGAATTCACACTGGATGAATTAAGAAACGCAGTAAAAAGAAGTAACAGTTCAGCTCCGGGGGCAGATGGCATTCCCTATATTACGTTGCATAAACTTACCCAAGAGAAAAATGGAAGAACTCTTGGTCATATTCAATGAGATTTGGAAATCTGGAATATTTCCATTGCAATGGCAAACTAGTATAGTAATACCACTAGTAATACCAAATAAAGACCCAAACTGTTCTTCATCTTACAGGGGTATTAGCTTAACTTCGTGTGTGATGAAAACGTTTGAGCGAATGGTGAAAGGCAGGTTGGAATGGTGGTTAGAATCAGAAAAGAAAATATCAGACTTCCAGTATGGGTTTCGTAAAGGAAAGTCCACACGATGTCTGTAACTACATTAATTTGAATTTTCCGTTAAACAAAACTGTAATCGCAGCATTTCTGGATCTGGTGGGTGCATATGATAACATTAACCTGGGGTCTCTATCCAATAAAATGGTAAATGTGGGCTTGCCACATAGTTTTGTAGGTAAGGTCATAAACCTGATATCAAATCGCAAAGTGTTTTTAAAGATGGAGGGACAGTTAATTGGACCACGGTATGCTCGATCAGGATTACCGCAGGGAGGGATCTTGAGTCCAATTCTTTTCTCAATTTTTACGAGTGATATTAAGCGTGACCTCCTTACAGGTATAAAATTACTGATCTATACAGATGACATCTGCCTGTATTCTGAACATAGGGATGTAGAAACAGCAAAAAACATTCTTAATGAGGGTATGATCATAATTAAGAAATGGTTATTAGAGAATGGTCAAAGCTTATCTGTAGAAAAATCAGTTGTTTGCGTTTTTTCAAAAAAGAGAAGAATCCCTATGGGGACCAAGTTATTTTAGCAGAGGAAGCCTTTCAAGAAAGTACGGAAGTAAAATTCTTAGGGATGTTTCTTAACAAAACACTTAGTTGGAAAGAACATATTAATTACGTAATTAATAAAGTGTGGTGATTAGTGACCGTTAATCGATAATTATTCAGAAATCGTGAGATGCGGTCAGGTGTGATGTAGGTTTCAGAAAAACATTTTCTTTATCGTGCCAACGTTCCGATCTTGAGGGCACTATCAACACGACACGCAAGAATAGCACAATTACACAGAAGACAAACACTTTGAGCCCTGAAGATGATCTCAATAAAGATCGCAACGTTGGCACGATAAAGAAAATGTTTTTCTGAAACCTACATCACACCAGACCGCATCTCACGATTTCTGAATAATAAGTAATTAATAAAGCGGAAAAATATTTGAATATATTAAAAATGGTAACGTATACAGGGTGAATTGCTACTCGTGCTACAAACTTCACCAGTAGATTCTTGACCCTAAAATGAACAAAAAAGTTCATATTGACCATGGTCCGATTCTCAACCATTTCAGAGTAATTTCGCNTTTGAGCGAATGGTGAAAGGCAGGTTGGAATGGTGGTTAGAATCAGAAAAGAAAATACCAGACTTCCAGTATGGGTTTCGTAAAGGAAAGTCCACACTGCATAATATCACGAGGTTAGTTACAGACATTAATTTGAATTTTACGTTAAACAAAACTGTAATAGCAGCGTTTCTGGATCTGGTGGGTGCATATGATAACATTAACCTGGGGTCTCTATCCAATAAAATGGTAAATGTGGGCTTGCCACATAGTTCTGTAGGTTAGGTCATAAACCTGATATCAAATCGCAAAGTGTTTTTAAAGGTGGAGGGACAGTTAATTGGACCACGGTATGCTCGATCAGGATTACCGCAGGGATGGATCTTGAGTCCAATTCTTTTCTCAATTTTTACGAGTGATATTAAGCGTGACCTCCCTACAGGTATAAAATTACTGATGTATGCAGATGACACCTGCCTGTACTCTGAACATAGGGATGTAGAAAAAGCAAAAAACATTCTTAATGAGGGTATGGTCATAATTAAGAAATGGTTATTTGAGAATGGTCAAAGCTTATCTGCAGAAAAATCAGTTGTTTGCGTTTTTTCAAAAAAGAGAAGAATCCCTTTAGGGGACCAAGTTATTTTAGCAGAAGAAGCCTTTCAAGTAAGTAGGGAAGAAAATTCTTAGGGATGTTTCTTAAAAGAACACTTAGTTGGAAAGAACATATTAATTACGTAATTAATAAAGCG